ATTATTATTATTATTGTTATTATTGTTATTGCCACCATCATTTATTTTTATTACTATGTTATCATTCATTGGTTGAGATGCTGATATTATTGTTGCTGTTTAACCCTTGTTTACTGTGATCTGTGATTACATTGTACCTGTTTCAAAGTGCAATATTTAGAAGTGATAAATATAAAGCAAGTTTTAATTGTTAAAAGCTAAAATTTTGAACTGTAATGAAGGAGTTGAAAGATACTTGTCAGTTAAATAGAATTTCTGACCAGGTTCAGAAATTGTTTTTAATTGAATTTCTTAGAATAAATTATGAGAATCATAATTACGTTATTTCATTATAATAATGCGCATGACTGTGTTTGTATGAAAATGCAGAATGCATGTTATGATTATAGATCTGGTTCTGTTTCCTTTGTGTGAACTTTGGATACGGTACCCTGTTTATTATTTTACAGGAATTTATTCTGCTTTTAATGATACCAAGTTTGTATTGCATAGAGCCAAATGTGTGTAATGAAGAGTGTTCCTCTAAATCCTTTTTCGTTTTTGATTTGAGAGTGCTCAAACTTGTTCATATTTGCCAAAAGAATGACAGTCCCTTTTCTACAGTCTTCTTGAGAATTATTATCCAGAGAAGTGACCATCCCAAGTGGCCAGGAGTCATAGATTTATATTATAATCTACTTTCCCTCTGTCAGAATGTGTGCCTCCTCCATTGGTGATACCATTTGTACACCACTAGATTTATTACTCTATTACATATATATATAGGCCTAATGGTCCAGGAGTGGCATTTTTTCTTGTATGCTATGCATCAGGTGTGTTCCTACTGTCCAGCTCCACTCTGAATGGACTTCTTCTGTCTTGTAGAGTTAAACCCTATCCATACGCCCTGGGGTCATTTTGTACCCCGGGGTTGTATTCTTCACATTTACTTAAAATACTTCTAGTACGAAGATCTCTTTGAAACTTTCAGTGTTTCTCACAAAAATTATTTTGACAAACTGCTATGCAAAGCATACGGATCGAATTAACGAGTAAATTTCCTCTTTGGAAAGTGGTGGCACAGAATTCCCCATAGTATGGATACGATAGTAAAACACGACTTACGGATAGCGTTAAACACTGAGAAAAAAAAAGACGAGGTAAAAGTGATTCTGAATGATCACATATGAAACTGCTTTGATGTTTTTAGAGTATTTTTGTATTTTTTTTTACTAATAATATTTTTAGCTTGGAATATTGTAATATACAGTAAAATAAATTCTGATTGGTGTGGTTCACACTGCATGACTTATTTTAAAAGAGTAAGCTTGCTAGTTTTTATAGTGCAAACAATTAAAGAAGTATTGAAATAACGGAAAACTTCGTGACTTTTATATAATTTATGATAAATTATACTTTTTGGGGTGTTATTTGCTTGACGTTTGAACTTTAAAAAAATCTTGAATCAGTACATCAGAACTCATACATTAACTCAGAAAGAAAGTGTGGGTGCACACACACATATACATACATACACGTACATGTGCACGTGCACACATATACACAATCTGACTCTTCTTCTTCTTTCTCCTCCTCCTCCTCTTCCATAACCATCTCTTTCTTCTTCTACTCCTCTCCATCCTCCTCTATCTTTCATGCTCCTCCAGCTGCTGCTGCTCCTCCTCCTCCCTTATCCTTTCAGTCCTCTTTTGTCTTCTCTTCTTTTTTTCACTTGTTCTTCTACTCCAATACTTTCTTTTGAAAAAAATAGTTTTCCTCCCCCCCCCTCTCTCTCACTCTCACACACACACACACTCACTCTCTCTCTCTCCGTCTCTCTCTCTCCCTTCTTTCGCGCCCTCTTTCGCTCGCTCTCCCACCCCCGCCTCCCTATCCCCACCCCCCTCTCTCTTACGCTCACTCAAAACGAAATTGTGAGAGAAATCGATGGTCAGAGACATTGATTGGAAGGGTGTATGAGAAGCAGTTCTTGCACCGCCCCAGGTGTTCTAAATAAGAAAAAGAACTGAGATAAAACTCAGTTTAATTGAGATCTCTTCTGCACAGTACTGCGGGTGGTTAGAGGGCGCCACTGGCAGGTTCTACTTCTTTTCTTTCTCTCTGTTTCTGTCTATCTTGCTTCTTCCCTGCACTCTGTGGTCGTTATTGGGTCGATGTGCTTCTCTTTACTCAAACTTGGGGGCTCTCGTGGTCTAGAGGTTAAGGTGTTTGCCCCTCTTTCAAAGGTCCTGGGTTCGAATCCGGGTAGCGACGAAAAATTGTTTTCTTCTCTAAAATTGTCTCCTTTCACCCCCTTTCCTGCTCTCTGGCAATGTTCTGTCGTCTGCTTTTGTCTCCACTTTCCGCCCTCACCCTTTTCACCTCCTTTGCCCCCTCCTCTGGGTTCACATGACTTTTTCTCCAACCTTTCTTCTACTGGTACCCCTTGGCTCCTCTTACTGCTGTCTTTCAGCCAAACCCCTGATCTTCTGGTAGGAAAGATCTACACCTCGCCTTCTCGGATAAGGGCGAAATATCTCGGAGGTCCCGTGTGCAAGTTCAGCACGTTAAAGACCCCTTGGTGGTCTGAAATCGATAAGAGCAGGCTTCGGCCGCCACCCGAGAAAAATTCAAAATTTCCTACCGACTGAAAACGTTTAATGTGTCC